GGAACAAATTGGGAAGTAAAAAAAAAAAAAAAAAGAAAAAAGAAATACACCAACTGGATTTAGTGGGAATCCTTCGACAAATGGACTTACACGAGGAAATTCGTAGATCAATCGTATGAACCCAAAACCACCAAGAAAAATGGATCTAAAGTTGCAAACACAAACACACAGTTTACAATCTCACTGCAGCCCACAGTCATGTCTGCACACACAGTAGATTTGCCCTGCAAATGTTTTTTTGTGAATATGGGCTTATGGGAGGCTGTGTATTTGTAGACCCAGTGAGCGGGCAAACAGAAACAGAGCAGCACCAGAATGACACTCAATTCACAAAGAAAAACACAACATTCACAACACCATGCAGCCAAACACAACCCGCACCGGGATCCATTCATCTCACACATACACAATTTCATACATTATCCTCATTAAAGACAATCTGTATTCATAGTCATTCAGAATGTTTCTAGAAAACTCCAACGGGTGCATTCTGCCATATGGCACATAAAACTGCTCTGGATGACTGGCAGACCACAGCTACATTTTGACAGATTTACTATTAAGAAGATTTTTCATTCAATTCATTATTGTATCAGTTTGGAAATTTGACGCCCATTAATACAGTCAACTGACTGGCCCTGCATCAATGCCCCAGCTAAAAAAATTTGTTTTTTTAAGCATTATGGTTATAGGACCTTTTGGGTCCCTGGAGGACTAATGGTTAGGCCTCGGCCCTGCCACCGCCGTGGCCCAGGTTCGATTCCCGGCCAGAGAAACAACCCCAGCCACTGGGGTTACACACGACCATGCACTCCCAGTGCCGGTCCAAAGCCTGGACAAAAATTGGGGAGGGTTATGTCATGAAGGGCATCCAGTATAAAAACTGTGCCAAATCAAATATGCAGACCAATGATCCGCTGTGGCGACCCCTAACAGGAGCAGCCGAAAGAAGAAGAACAACAACAGTTATAGGACCTTTTGTTTCCAAGAACATTCATCTGTCTTATTTTCTTGTTCTTTTGTGATCCAAAAAAAGTTTTTTTAAAAATATTATATTTATAAAAAGATTCTAATGGACCGATTATGCAGTATTTTTTTTTTTTGTAAAAAAAATAACAAATAACAGTGTGTAAGCATTGATCTAATAACATGAAGCAAACCTTTATTACAGCATGTTTTGAGAACCTTACAGAAACATTATTTTGGCAATTTTTTGTTACAGCCTAGCCTTGTTAGAACATGTCAAATGCTTTACTGTCTCTCTCTAGTGTTCTCTCTTAGCTTGAACATTTCTCATGCCTATACCATTACTTCTACACTTTCCCTTTTCCACTTCTGCTACACCACAGTTTCATGAATTATAAAAAAAAATCAGAAGTGAACATGCTTTCAGCTCTTCAAACCTCTGCACTCAGAGAACCACGGATTTTGACTTTCCTTATATGCCCTGTGTATTCTTAGTGACTGGATATAATTGGTTGGTTTGCTCGGTTGGTTGAATTCATTTCTCCTGTCATGTTCTGACTGGCCTGACCTTTAGCAGTGGATTTTCTTGCCCTTGATCTTCTGGAGTCAATCCGCCATCATAGAGATTCTGACTAGCAAAACCATGTGGATACGAAAACTCTGTGGACCTCTGGTGTCTTGTTTTTTTTTTTTTTAATTTCTTGCAATTTTTTGTTTGTGCTGTTTTTGTCTGATTACACCACTATGTGTAAGATAGGTATTCATTCATTCATTCATTCTTTCATTCATTCATTCATCTTCAGTAAGTTCTTTATCCTGGTCATTGTCATGGATGGATCCAGAGCCTATCCCAGGAGTACTGGGTGCAAAGTCTATCGCAGGGCAGCATGCACACACTCTTTCATACCTAGGGTATGTTTCGCTATTTCACCTACTGGTATGTTTTTGGACAGTGGGAGAAAACTGGAGAACCTGCAGGAGACCCACGGGGAGACCATACAAAACTCAGAAGACATTAACCTGAGCTCAGAATCAAACCAAGGACGATGATGAGGATGGTTACTATTCACACTTGGTAATTTCAGTTTCAATCAGTTTCCTTGAGCCCTTGTGGTGCAGGAAGCATACGAAACTACAAGCCTGATCATTTTAATAACCATTAACTCCTCTTTTCTCTTATTCATAAAATCCCAACAATAAGAAGCTACAAAGAACATGTAAGGATGGCAGTTATGAAAGCAATTTACATTTTAAGAAAAGCATTAAATCAATAAATCTGGAACAGACTCACATTTCTGCTCCTCTACGCTTAAAAACACAACAAAAACACCTAATGTTGCCAGCAAGTAATGAATGTCTATGTCACCCTAAATCCTTTTCAGGAGGTTCAAGGTTCAAGGTTCTTTATTTGTCACATACATTACATACATGTGATGTATTAATGTAGTGAAATGTTTTTCCTTAGTGCCTCGTCCCACAGTGCAACTGTGATCCATAAAACAGAATATAATAAAACAGAATATAAAAGAATATAATGAATAAAATAGAATAGACTCTATTAGACAAAATATAGATGTTATATGTAAAATTATGTAGAAAGTGTAGTTAATATGCAGAGACGTCCATTACTTGTTACCTACAGTTAACTTGTAGTTTCTAGTAGTAATTAAAACCATTAAACACTGAATATGTCTTGGCTGATTTGAGAAAAATTGCCCAAAAAAATGTTCCTTTTTTTTTTTTTTTTTTTAAATAATATAGTCTAGTAGCATTTTTGAGTGGCAGTCATAAAAATGAACATTTCAGTATACACATTATTGGGAAACTAAGTCTCCACAGTTACACAGACAGTTGTCTCAGTGTGTTGGCAGGAAATTGTGAAACCACTATAAAAAGCTGGCCAAAAAAAAAAAAAAAAAAAAAACTTCCACCTTGAATCCCTATCAATTTACAAGCAATTCAACATTCTACAGATCTTACTGATTGTCAGAAGTAGTTAAAGTCTGTGTGTATTGTTAGTAAGGTGCAGCGGTGAGACAGAAGGATTTGTCATTACTCTCTCTCTCTCTCTCTCTCTCTCTCTCTCTCTTTCTCTCCCTTTAGACATCGCTATTTTCTGCTTTTGTGGAGTTTGAGCTGAAGTCTGTATCGCCGGAGTCTAGTCCAGGGATTTGAGTGTGTGTATGTGTGTTTGGGCATCGACCCAAAAGAGAGGCGTGAGCGCTACTGAACATTTGGTCTGGACCTCCTCTCCTCCTTCCAGCTCGGACATCATGATCACTTAATTAGATCATGTCAACCCTGCGGGCCGCTGCAGTTCCCCAGCCAGTCCTGTCCTCTGTTCCATTCCTCCACCATCATCCCTCCTTCTGTCCTGAGCACTGTCGGGTGCAGATGGGTGGATTTCGGGGGAGAGATATGTAATGCACTCTGTCATCCAGTCAATATCAAGCAAATCAAACACACACACACACACACAAACTGGCCATATAGTATCCACTGTAAGAAATCAATGGGGAAATGTTGTACTGTCCTAGTAATAATCTCCAGCTTAAGCTTGAAATGAGAAACCTGTCCTCTCTGAGGGTTTGGATTTATCAGTTTGCAGCCAGAGTATCATCATTTAGACCACACCAATAATATATGCAAGTCTATTTGGTGTTTATATTCAATTTGAGATTTTGAGATTTTATTCTCATGGTAAATTACTAAAGCCATGTCAATTGCAAAACTCCGTTGTTTTCATATTCTGTGAAAGCTGTCTGAAGTCATGAGGCATGTTTAAGTGCTTAAAGCCCATGAAACCTGTCTGATATATGAATCTGTGATATGAAGCCGTGTCCTCCATTATTAGTATAGAAGAAAGTGAAGGCACATCCTTCTTTTTCAGAGCAGCTGCTGCGCTCCGGCTGCTACTAGTGTCTCTGACGCTGGGTGAGAAATTACAGACGGCATTAGGCATGACACACCTGCAGTACACCCCGCACACCACCATCCCTCAGAAGACGGACGCCATGCTTTGCTACCAGTAACTCATTTGTGCTCACTTGATTAAGGGACCCAATCTGTCATCTTAGTAAATGATTCTAGTGATAATGATAAGGATGCTTCACCATGGGGAGCAGCCATTCATGGCCAAGGTCACAATCACAGTGGATTGCTGATTCACCCACAGCTTTATTGACAGGCCTCACCCTTGTGGTTCACACTCAGGTTTTGTATACACAGCCAGAGTAAGTCATTATGCACAGGCTTCCATGTTTGCATGTCCATCAGAACAGGGCAAGTGCATTACCATTTGCATGCACAAAGCAGGAAGGTTTTCATTAGCATGGAGAAATAGGCGGAACCCAAACCCTTGACCTTTAGAACACACAAAGCAGTTAGGAAGCAGTTGGATGTCTGTTATAGGGCATATGGCTAAATCAGGAAAGATATGTTAATTAAATCCACATTATTATAGATTACCATTGGCAGGGAGAACTCACTCTTGATAAAACAGGAAAAACAACTGGTCCAAAAAAAATATGAGAAACAGAACCTGAATAATGGCCTGGGTTGACCTGCCAGGAATAATGACAGTGAATCAATAACACCTTTGACCTTTAAATATCAAAGTGCTTAAAGGGAAATTCCAGTGATTTTCAAAAGTAGGCTTGTTGAGAAGTAAATAAAGTAATTTAGGTTCTTTTAATGAAAAAAAAAAATCACAAAAAAAATCCAAGACAGGATTCTTCACAACAGAAGTTATTTCAAGCTTTTAGAATGTACCTTGCAAAAAGTTATTATACAAAATGATTATGAATACTTTGCCTGATACCTTCGACATTATATTAATTTATTTTTGTGAGATATACACTTTATTAGGTACACCTGCCCATTCATGCAATTATGCAATTAGCAAATCATGTGGAATCAGCACAACGCATAAAATCAAGTAGATACGGGTCAAGAGCTTCAATTAATGTTCACATTAAACATCAGAATGAGAAAAAAATGTGATCTCAGTGACTTCCACCATGGCATGGCTGTTGGTGCCAGACCAAGCAGCGTTTTTCTTCCTTTCTTTTTCCTTCCTTCTTTCCTTACTTGACATTATTTACCATGAACAAACCTTGCACTTCACTTGCAATTAATACACCAGAACAAAATAAAATCAAATAAACCAAATATGCCAAATAATCAAATAAGCCCACAATGAGGAATATGAACTAATGAACCTTAATGAAAAATGTTTGCACTAGAAGCATGTTTTCACTGGTTTCGACCTTTACTTTCATCCTCAATGTCACGTCTAAACATTATTTAATGCAGCATACTTATTCCTGGCATCAATAAATCAAAAAATCTTGACCATCAACATATTCTAACATTGTAACATTCTAAAATATTCTAACACAGAAGAATAAGTAAAATTGATTACATATGAAAATGCAGGCCTAAGTAACATTGTATAATTCATTTCTTACAGCAATCTTTCATCTAATCTAATCTAGTAATCTTTAGTATTTCCCAAATTCATAACTAACGTTTTATAAAGTTTAATTTAAACCAGTTAAATAAATTCACATTAAAAACACCACTAAAGGATGATTAACATTTTATAATGAATTTCTTGCAGTAGCAAGAATTTGAGGATTTGAAAAAATAAAAATAAATATTAACAGTAATTTCTGAAATTATATGAATACTAGTACACCAATTAAAAATCTTGTCATACTGTAATAGGCCTAATGTTCTATATTTCCCAGTATACCTCATAAAACACCATTTAATGCACATAAAATCCTCCAATGCATCATTTAACCA